TCCCCTTGCCCCAGGACCATGTAGTGCAGAGGAAGGGACATGGACTGTGGAGTCAGACTGCCCTGGGTTTAAATTTCAGTTCTACCTTATGCTAATTGAAGAACTTCCAGCAAATTGCTTTGATTCTTTACTCCTTCATTTCCTTAGCTATAAAATGGAGACTCAAACACTTACCTTTTAGGGATTGTTGAAGGCTCAAAAATGACCTTTGTAAACCCTTGACAATGAGTAATACTTGGTGATTATTATCATCAGGAGGACAAGCAAATATTTAGGGCAGCAATTCTCAGCTCCAGTTCTGCAACACTGCAGGATATTGCAAATTATCTCAAGGAGTGTTGTAATATTTTCCAAAGGCTCTCCGACTAAGATTATTGTAAATTCCCTTTATTTACTGAAATAAATTCTCAATAGGTCATTAGAAGTAGGGTTGATACTGATATCACTCTTGTCATATCATGAGAGAGGTGAAGTTTTTATTATTCAACCTTTGCCCCTTCTGTGATATCCTCTCTCCTATTTTAGTCCCCAGGCTTAGGATCAGCTTGGGTGTGAATATCAGTTTAGTCACCCCCTGTACATTAGGTAAGCATTCTGAGCCCAAGTGTCCTCATCTTCAAAGTTGGGGTAATCATGACTACTTCATAAGGTTGTTTCTAGGATTAAAAAAGGCAGAGAAAGTCCTCAGCACAGCATAACTTACTGTCCCCTGACTTAGTTCCTCATGGTCATACCTAATCTCTCAGGGAGAGGAAGTTATGAGTGAAAATTACAAAAGCTGTTTCACCAAAATCTTTGTGAGACCATTGAAAGCTCAAGTCAACAATAATCTATAACCTACCTGCCAGAGAATGACATCTATTGGGTAAGAGGATTTTTACCTCCTAGATAACCAGGATAAAACAAACAAAAACCAAGAAGAATTACACATACAAATTCAGATTTCTGACTTCTCTTAAAGAATCAGATCTGTCCCTGATGACAACTATCAGCCCTCTTTTAGACATAGGTGTGCTCTCTGTTTGCCACAGACCTGATGACAACGATCAGCCCTCTTTTAGACATAGGTGTGCTCTCTGTTTGCTCTCTCTACTGTGTTACATCTAGCCTGCTTCCCTCATTGAACTGCTTGACCCCTATTAGAATTGAAGTTTATGACCCCTGGCCAATAGATTCAGTAAAGTAGTTCATGATGGTGCTGATGACAGGATAAAGTTGGTGGAGGAGAAGATTTGTAAGCTTCTTTTTCAATTATCCAAAAAGCCTATTGATGGCCGGGCACAGTGGTTCAGCCTGGAATTCCAGCACTTTGGGAGACCGAGGCGAGAGGATTATCTGAGCCTGTGGGTTCCAGAGCAGCCTGGGCAACTTGGTGAGACCTTGTCTCTACAATAAATCATAAAAACTAGCCGGTCATGGTGGCATGTGTCTGTAGTTACAGCTACTTGGAAGGCTGAGGTGGAAGGACCGCCTAAGCCCAGCAGATTGAGGCTGTGGTGGCCGTGAGTGTGCCACTGCACTCCAACCTGAGCAACAAGAGACTCCAACTAAAAAAAAAAAAGCCTAATAATAATAACTATGTTGCTACCCTCTGAAAGAAGGCACCGATTGAGCCGGGCTCGGTGGCTCAGCCTATAATTCCGTGCCTTTGGGAGGCTGAGGTGAGTGAATTGCCTGAGCCCGTGGGTTCGAGACCCACCTGGGCAACTTGGCAAGACCTCATCTCTACAATAAATAAATTTTAAAAAACTAGCCAGGCATGGTAGCGCGCATCTGTAGTTCCAGCTACTTGGGAGGCTGATGTGGAAGGATGGCCGGAGTCCAGCAGGTTGAGGCTGCGGTGGCCGGGGGCAGCCACTGCACTCCAGTCTGGGCGACAGAGTGAGACTCCAACTCAAAAAAAAAAAAAGAATGCACCGATTAATTAAACACCAGATTTCTTTGCTTTTAGGTAGAATTATGTTAGCTGGGTAATTGTGTTATCGTAAAAGATCAGAATGGCAAGTAGATATCAATGAGAAATGTTTCAAAAGTTGGGAAAACAGATTCCTATCATTTAATAAACTTTGTTTGAAAGACCAGTTCTTTGAAAAATGGGGCCCAAGGAAGAGAAAATAATAATAATCAAAGTATCCTTATCAGTGGAAAGATTGAGAAGGGAGTCCCTGACTTTGTCACTTCTCTGCTGGTATTTGTCATCCTAATGATCAAAAACAGAAGAATGAATATTGGAACTTCAGGTATCTCATGGTAGGTAGAGAAGATATTTGGACAAAGGCAGTAGGGTCTTTTTTTGAGCCCTGGAATTTCATGTTCTTCTAAGGCAGGCTCACTTATGATTTTAAGGCTAATAATAGACATAGTTTTAAAACACAGGCTCTGTTTTTTCCAAACTATAAGTCCAAATGAAGTGCAATGACTTGGAAGGCTCAGGCGGAAGGATTGCTGGAGTCCAGAAGTTTGACACTGAGGTGGCCGTGAACGTGCATGCCACTGCATTCCAGCCTGGGTGAAGGAGTGAAACTCCAACTCAAAAAAAAAAAAAAGAAAATGTAATGACTATTTAAGATACTGCTGTGCTCTGTTAAAACTAAATGTTCCAGCCGGGCTCGTTGTCTCAGCCTGTAATCCCACACCTTTGGGAGGCTGAGGTGAGTGGATTGCCTGAGCCCGTGGGTTTGAGACCCACCTGGGCAGCGAGACCTCATCTCTACATTAAAAATAAAAAAATTAGCCGGGCGTGGTAGCGTGCGCCTGTAATTCCAGCTACTCGGAAGGCTGAGGCGAAAGGATTGCTGGAGCCCAGCAGGGGAGGCTGCAGTGGCCGGGAGCGGCCACTGCACTCCAGTTTGGGCGGCAGTGAGACTCCAACTCAAAAAAAAAAAAAAAAAAAAAACAACTAAATGTTCCTTGCCTGTGCTAATGTACAAGGCCACTGTATTTTATAAGGGTGAAGAAACTACTTATGACCTGTAATTCTTAAGGATTGTTATATGTCCTAGAACAAAGCTGATTCATAATTCTAGTAGGTGGGGCAAAGGGATTACATTTTCAATCCTTCTTGCCAACTCTTTCCAGTAATTTAACTGAACTATGTGGGAATCTTTTGATAATCATATAATTTTTTAGCTAACATGTACTTTAAGGATCTCCTAATCTAACCTCCTTATTTTCCAAAAGTCTGAGAGAGGAAAAAGGACTTGCTCAAGGCTAGAACTTAGGTCTTCTGAGTCTGAGTCCAATGTGATATCTAACTTTTTCAGTTTTGTTTTCCATTTTAAACTATCCCAACCTGCCATTGCCTGAGATCTGTTTTTTCTTTCCAGTCTTGCAGCTTCTACTTAATCATCCAAGCTTTCAGATTTTCTACAATCCTATTTTATCCTCACAGCATTTTCACAAGGCTTCCAGATTCTTGGAGAAATCTCAAATAGGGGACATGATCTGGAGGGTTCTCCACAAAACCTTGCTGGTGCCTCCAAGAAGACAGACATTTGTAGCCTATTGGTTTTAGCACTCTCTCTCTGTGTCCATTCCATGCTGAAGTTTCCAAGGAAGCAAGGCCAGCCTAGCAGCAGGATTGTGTCTGTTCTTTTTAGAAACAAGTCTGTTGAGATTTCATACATTCTGCTCATTTCTTCTTTTTGCTTTTATGTCAATAAGGGGCTTTTTACCACCTGTCTGAAAGCAGCTCTCTCTTGTGCAATGGCACTTTTAGCTACTGCAAAATTAGATGACAAAGTTTTTTTTCTAAGACAGGATGAGCACATCAAACGCGATTCTGGCCAGGACTGCTTCTCTCCGCAGCCCACACTAGTTGTGTGGGAAAGAGAAGCATAGTCTCTTCTGGAGGAAAAAAATAAAGAAAGACTTTTTTTTAGAGGTGGGGAAAGTCAATGATAAATTATGAGAGAGCTGCCATTTAAGTGGAGATACATGAGATGAGTACAGACTGACTTATAATTAATAGATAGATCTATGCAAATGAACGTGTAAAAAGAGGCAAAGGATACTAGTAGCAAAGACACTGGTCAAATCCTCCCCCACCCTGCCCATTCATTGAGATACAGAGTCACAAATTTTGTGACCATGTCAACCATGAGAGGAGAAAAATAAGGACATATGCTGAGTTTTTCATAGTACTAAATTTATTCCATTTTTAAAAGGAATGTCTTATATTCTGAGATTATGCCCTTCCTTTTTTTTTTGAAGTCCTAAAACATTTGTTTTATGAAACTACAGTGAAGGTGGATGATAACTGATATATTTTATGTGCTTCCTTGGCAACTTAAAAAATTGATCACTATATGTCTTTCCTTCTTCTTCTTTTTTTTTTTTTTGGTATGCACTGATTTGTGAGACCCCAATGTCTGCTAACCTCCTACCTAGAAAAATATTCACCAAATAGTAAGTGATTACCAACCTATTTGGAACAAATCTCAATTAATTAACATATACTTCAATGAGAAGACTCAACAAAATCTTACTTCTTTTCTTTTTCTTTTTTCATTTGTTTATTTATTTATTTATTTTTGTTTGAGACAGGGTCTCACCCTGTCATTTGGCTAGGGTACAGTGACACAATCCCAGCTCACTGTAGCCTCAACCTCCTGGGTTCAAGCGATGCTCCCACCTCAGTATCCCTCCCTACCCCCAGTAGCTGCATCTACAGGTGTGCACTACCATGCCTGGTTAATTTTTGTATTTTTTTGTAGGGACAAAGCCTTGTTATGTTGCCTAGGCTAGTCTCAAATTCTTGTGCTCAAGTAATTCTCCCACTTTGGCCTTCCAAAATGCTGGGATTGAAGGTATAAGCCATCATACCTGGCCCTACTTTTCATTCTTAACAGCTCTCTCCATAAAAATGCTCCATAAGTATATCAAGTTAGTCATAACAACTACTGCTAAGTGATTAATGAAACACTTCTTCATAACCTCTGATAGTTTGACAGGAGTGAATTTAATAATAGCAATAAATACAGATGGGACTACATAATTGAGGAGGTCCTGATGCAAAACTCTTCTTGTATTAGATGGCATCTCAGTTTTCTCATCTGAAATGAACCAAGAAATTAATTACACTGATGATCATAGCAATGTGAAAAAAATTCAAGACAAAAATCTCTATTCTGACAGAATGCCTCTTCTTGTTTCCTACTGCCCACTTCACATATACTGAAAGCAAGACTAAAGGAAACTCCAAGGAGAAGACGGTATTTAGGATGGATGTGGCTCCTGATCTTGTTGTGAAGGAGTGTGCTGCAGTGGCTCTCCCCAGGACAGGCTCTCTCAGTCACTTACATTATGTGGCAATAAAATGCTGTTGCACAAGCATTGGCCAAATGCTTAATGTTTACTTCTAAAGAGAGCAGGCTGAGACAAAAGGTGTCCTCAGTTCTAGGTAACCTTTCAACCTGTCTTCCTCTAAATTGGAGGCAGATGTTCCTCCACCTCCCATTATTTTCCTCTGAACCCCTTCACCTCCCAGCACCTCCCATCTCTGGAGGTGTTTGCCTGCAATGATAGACAGCTTTATGATACACATCACTGCAACCCATCTGCTTAGGAAAAATCATTGGCCCCAGCCTGGAGTACTTACAAAGCTGTTTCTCTGTGAGGGACTTCATCCTTTATGCAGAGCTAAAAGCAAACACAATGAGAGGGATAAATATGCCTGCTTTTCTAAGGCCCATGAATAAACATTTTGAACGCTTCAAGGTGGCTCAGGGACAAATGATGTGGAAATACAGCCACCTCTGCATCTGCTCAGGTCTCATTTTTGGGGCCACATTAATAGTTTTTATTAAATTTAGAGAAGATGTAACTCTCAGGATATTTTCAAGATTCTTAGATACCTAAGTATTTCTTTCTTTCTTTTTTTTTTTTATAGGAAACAATTTACTTTAGACTGGAATAGGGAGTGGAATGCATTTCTTCCTGGGATACATCATGCCCAGTTATTATGTGTTTCAGGGAGAATGCCCCTTGCTGAATGATGAATACAGCCTAGGGCCTACTGGCCATTCCTTACAGGCTTTCTGCCATGTTTACCTTCCTTTCGCACTGGATTAACCGGCAGAGTCAAATGGATAGCATTAACCTATGCATGCACATACTCTGAATCATGCTAACAAAGTTAGGCACTCAACAATTTTCCAGCCCACTGCACCCGGGGTGTATGGCTGTACTCCAGAGGTAAGCAGCCAGTGCCATTTTTTAAATGTAGGTCTTTGAATTCAGAGCAGATGTTTCTCCCTATATTTATTTATTATAGCACAGTACCATAGCAACAATAAAGGGAAATTTAAAAGGAAGAGAAATCAGCCCTAAATCCCCTGCCCCAACAACACAGCTATTTTCATGCAGGGCTTGCCCATATGCACTTCTATGCTTTGTAAATCTGTACTCATAATATATATGTAATTTGTATTCCCTTGTATTTTAGATCTCATGGTAGAAAGACCAGATTCAACTTTGCCTAACTCAAGTCACTTATGTTTCCAGTTTTCTGCTTTTATTTAGATGACTGTTTACCCAAGTAGCTTAGAATACTTAGATACCTTCATTATTCTCTTTCTTCTAGCAGTCAGTCCAAAGCACAGTGTGAGAAAGATCACAACACCGGCAGCAATAATGGGTTCTATTGGTACAGCCATCGTCTTATCTGTTAGAAATGGAAACATAGGGAATAGGAGTAAACATTAATATGTGTCTTGCACTATGCATATATCTTCCTCTTCATTAAATTCTCCAACAACCCCCAAAAATAAGTATTATTGTCCTTCCCCATTTTATAGGTCAGGAACCAGGGGATTTGAGAGGTCAGGTTGTCTAAAGTCACAAAACTAGTAAAGCCAGAGGCAGGGTTTGAATCCATTCCTTTGAGGAAAAATAATTTCTTGTAATATGAATAATTCCCCTCCTCAAGCAAGTAGTCAGACCATTTTAGTGCTTTCTTCATTCACAATCTTTGCTACACAGAAAGCAGAAGGGGATTGAAGTTGACATTTTTTTCCTGCCTTTTGATAAGCTCAAAGATATTGGGAATGGTATCCCAGAGGGGTAAAAAGAGGGAGGAAGGCTTTGAGAATGCGAAGCAAAAGGATGGAGGGTTTTCTGAACTAAGAAGGAGAGAGACATCTGTGGTCCCCAAAAGCAGTGGGAACCTTTGCACCTGTACTAGGATGGTGCCCCAAGCAGGTGACAAAACATCAGAGAAAGTAGCTGCATGGTGCCCCTAGGGAAGTAGGACTCTAAGCATTAGCCTTCCCAACCTTGGCAAAGATTTTCATATCTCTCTAAATGACATGGGAGGACAGAGAATCTACTTCTAACTTGGACCAGGAACTGATCAGCAGCAACCATGACAGCCTGCAAGCGAAAGCCCTTTTCTTATTTTCTGAACAACAGGTAAGCTCAGAGGTATTTCACTCATCAGTCACTACAGGCATAGTGCCTGTGTTTGCAAGCTTTTCAAAAGCCTACAAAAATATGAGACCTGAGGGAAAAAAATGAATTGGCTTCAAGATACAAAAAAGTGGCAAAATTAATCAAAATTAATAAAAGTTAAAGCACTCACAAAATGTAACCTTGTGTCAACTATAATCCAACTGTTAAATAATAATGTTTCAACCTCAAGAACCAAATTAATAACTTAATTATAACAGAATTCAAAATCTATGCCAGTTATAAAAATCTTTCAAAATATTTAAAGTCAAAAGTACAGTTAATTTGCTTTGTTTGAATATGTTTGATATATGAGATGAAACTTTCCGAATAAAAGTAAAAGCCAGGCACAGTAGCATGTCCCAGCTACTCAGGAGACTGAGGCAAGAGGATCACCTGAGCCCAAGAGTGTGGGCCTGTAGTATGCTGTGATCACCCCTGTTAGAAGCCACTACACTCTAGCCTGGGCAACATAGCAAGACTCTATCTCTAAAAAAATTTAAAAAGTAAAAGTATTTAAGGTCAATAAGGTTTTTAAATGACGTTTAAGCCTCTGGATTTTGAGGCCACCCAATGTGGAAAAGGGACCCCAATCATGGCTTAAAGAAAATGTTAGGAATTTAAAGGAAATAAAGAGTATGCTATTTACAAACAAACAAACAAAAAGGTAACTGTATGAGATGATCAATACATATATGCATATCAAAACATAGATACAGGCCAGGCTCAGTGGCTCAACCTGTAATCTCAGTACTTTGGGAGGCCGAGGTGAGTGGATTGCCTGAGCCCACAGGTTCCAGACCAGCCTGGGCAACTTGGTAAGGCCTCATCTCTACAATAAAAAAAAAAAAAATTAGCCAGGTGTGGTAGTGCGCGCCTGTAGTTCCGGCTACTTGGAAGGCTGAGGCGGAAGGATCGCTGGAGCCCAGCAGGTTGACACTCGGGTGGCCATGAGCATGCCACTGCACTTCAGTCTGGGCAACAAAGTGAGACTCCAACTCAAGAAAAAGCAAAAAACAAACAAAAAATTAGATATAATAACATATATAATAAAAACTCAATACATTTTTAAAATGTGCTATTTATTGTACAATTGAGTTTGTGGATTGAAGTATAGTCAAGAGATATTTACTGAGTAACTAATGTGTGTTAGGTGCTGAGCTCAGCTCTGTAAAAAACAGAACAGTCACAGAAGCGCCTCTGCCTTCCTGGAGCTCATATTCTAATGAGGGAAACAGACATTTAACAAACAAAAACTACAGATTCAGTATTGTACAGGAAACAGGGCCTGAGGCAGATATGAGAGGTGTAAGGCAGGGAGGAGGGGAAGAAGTGACTTTAGATAAAAAAAATCTGATGAAGCTGGCCTAGGTGGCTCAGCCTGTAATCCCGCACCTTGGGAGGCTGAGGTGAGTGGATTGCCTGAGCCCACAGGTTCGAGACCTGCCTGGGCAACTTGGTGAGACCTCATCTCTACAATAAATAAAAAAATCAGCCGGGCATGGTAGCGCACGCCTGTAATTCCATCTACTTGGAAGGCTGAGGCGGAAGGATCGCTGAAGCCCCAGCAGGTCGAGGCTGCAGTGGCTGGGAACAGCCACTACACTCCAGTCTGGACGACAGAGTGAGACTTCAACTCAAAAAAAAAAAAAAATCTGATGAAAATCTCAGCATTTAATTTCAAAGCCCAATCTCTATATCCCCTATGACTATGAAATTGGATTTCATATTTCCTCCCATAACTGTCTAACACACTAATTACCTTTTAATCATTTTCTTCCCCATAACTTGTCCTGCTCCAGGTAATTCTGGGGAGTAAGTAGTTAAACTTTTGCCTTCTCTTGGTTGTTTCTAAGAATTATTCTCATGAAGGTTTGAATCATACCAACTCTCTGGAGAAACTTTGCTCAATGGGCTTTTTTCTAGGAAGCCCGGCTTCTGTAATAGCAAACTCTGGAACACCCTGAAGGACCTTTACCTTACTGGAGAGCCCCTCCACTTGCATGCCAAGAAACATGCAAAACGAAGGGAAATAAAAGTGGGATGATTAGAAAAAGAAATCAGAATTCAGTCACGGTTGGAATACTTTTACCAAGTCAAATAAAATGAAGTCACATGCAACAGCTTTCATTCCATAAGCACACTGAAATAAACTGCCATTGGCAAGCTTTGGATTCTTTCCATTGAAAGTGACTTTGGCAAGGGGAACTACATAACTGCACCTCTTTCTCCCTTGTCCTGTTTTATGGTCTTATTTGTAACCAGACCTGATATTTTCCTCCCATATTCGTTATGGTAAAATAATTTCAACACATGGGCTAAATCTTGTGCTCCAGAAAAGATCTGTGATATCCTTTCCAGCCTTTGTATGTCCTTGTTTAGGAACTACCCCCACTGAGCTGTGAAGCTGGGAGAGGCTCATGAAAATCTCTGAATTTAGCCTGAGCACCAGCGGCAGAGTGCTTATGTTACAAAGGCAGCCAGGAGCCAGGGGAGTAACAAAGCTAGAAGAAATAAGAAAAACAAGTTGGTTTGGAAGAGCTCCATCCAAAACAAGTTCCTGCCCACCTGAAAGCCAATTTACCAAGCTGGCATCCTGACTGCCACACAAGCTGTGTTTTTGCTTTTGTTTTAATGTGACATAGAGCAATTATAATGTCTTCTTAACCAAGAGGGCTAATGTAATTTCCTAGTCTCCAAGTGTGGTCTTCACAGCCAGTTATGATGGCATGGCATGAGGCCCACCCTACCATGCTTTTGTGGTCCTGGGGGAGGCACATAGCCACAAGGGATTCTACTGCTTCTCTCCGTGGGTGCTTAGGATATTTGTGAGTTTGGTTTTGAAGAAAGTAGCCCCTGGGCATACTGTCACTACATTCAGGATAAATGACTGAACATGCCAGGAATCACTGTGATGGGCATTCAACTGCCAGCAACTCTTCCTCCCTACCAGCCACTATGTTATCTCTGAAGCCCCTCCCCCAGGGAGAGGAAATAAGACATCCTGTGGTTGCATTAATCCAACACTTCTGGCAGGGGTTCAGTTGGCTTTCTGGAGATTTGCAGAATGGCAATGAGTGGTGTATGGAGGCAAATGACAAAGTAGAAAATGTTCTAACAAGATACAGGAGGCTCAGCTTGGGCTGCTCCTCATATACTGGCCCAAGACCAGAAAATGTGTACATGAGTATGTTCTGCTATACCAGGTATTTTGCCTTTCTCTTTTTGTATGATCAAGAAATATGAGGAGGGCAAAAACACTCAGAGCTTCATTTGTTCTCTGTTACAGCAGAGGAGATAAAACTGTATAGATAAAACATGAAGCCAAGAGAAAGTTTTCCCTCATGTTTTCCTACTCCCCCTTCTGATGAGCTTACAGGTTAGACTTTGAGTTAGCAGTGATTTTAGAGATCCATTTTCTTATCTAGTCATCATTTTTCTCCTCTCTGTGTTTTTTACTTCTCTTTTGTTTGCCATTAGGCTGTGAACTCATAAGTTCAGTTACTAAGCACCTTGCTGCCCAGAAGAATTCATGGAAATACCCCTCTCTAAAAACCAATCAGATCATTTCCCACATTTGGTTCTAAAAAAGGATCTTTGCTTAAAAAGCAATGTCCTATATAGAATGGACATAATTCCCCTAAAAGACCGGACTAGATTTCTTAGTGGAAAATTCCTTAGATGGGGATAGTTCTCCAAATAAAATACCAGCTACTAATCATAATTGCCATTGTCATTGTCACCAAAAATATTTACTGAGCATCTAGTCTGTGTTTTGCACTGTACTGGGCATTACTTAAAGAGAGTTACCTTTCACAATCAGGTGAAAGTCCTTTTTGATCTCCCTTTTCAGAGGTGAATTTGCAATACAGGTGTAGGTTCCATTGTCAGATTTCTTCACTTTGGTGATCGACAACTGAAAAGACTCACTTGTCTGTTGGATTTGGTGATGGTTTTTCTCTAAATTCAGGATGCTACTGTTTTTGTGCCACATCATTTGAGCCTGGGGGTTGGACTTCACATTGCAGACCAACTTCACGTTACTGCCTTCCTCAACTGTTTGGAAGTCGTTTCCACTTAGGAGAGGAGGAACTGTAAAACTCAAGCATTTGGATCTAATTAGCAGATAAGCAGTAATTCACTGTCAGTGGTCAAGGTCTTCCTTCAATCTATCTCATGTAGTCATTTATTCACCTGACAAAAATTTACTGAATAACTACTGTATGCCATGTGCTGGGGTAGGAGCTCGGGATACAATGGTAAATAATAATTCCAGTTCCAAATCTCACAAAACTTTGATGGAGAAGACAAACCATGAAGCCATATATTACTATGAACATAATATATTTGATAATGAATATGTACCAAGTAGACAATGTGTAACACTACCCAAGAGTATAAGCCTTGGGTCTTTGTTCTCTGAGAGTTCATAAGTCAACCCATGCTACTGTTGGATAAAACAGTTTTATATATATGTATATTATTTTTAAGACAAGGTTTTGCTATGTTGCCCAAGCTGGTCTCAAACTCTTGGGTTCAAGCAATCCTTCTATCTTGGCCTACCAAAGAGTTAGGATTACAGGTGTGAGCCACTGTGCCTGGATAAAACAGTGTGATATTAAGAAGGCAGGCATTGAAGTTAGCCCTAATTCAATCTACACCACCTACTGTGACTTTGAGACCGTTTCTTAACATATAAGACCTCAGTTTTCTTATCTAAAAAAACAGGATAATAATACACCTTATGATCTGCTATAATTCCTGTAAAAAATTACCATAGTGCTAGCTAATATTGTGGTGGTCGTGATGGGTTTGAGGGTAACTCACACCTTTTGTTTTTGAAATTTATCTAACCATTGTCCTGGCCACTTATTTATCGATGCATATTTGCATTTCCTCAGTGATCCTCTAGAAATAATGCCCTCCTCTCAGAAGATGTTCTAGTAATGACAATTCTGGCATCTATTAAAGGTGAGTAAGTCCCTCTCATCCCTCTGTGTAAGCAGTTCCTTATGACCTCCACAATAAAGGCAGCTAAAGACCCATAAATAGCCAAACACATTAATCTCCATGCCCCTTGCATTTTTCAGCAAAGGCACAGAAGAGTAATAAAATGGTTGGAGAGTGGGAACTGGGGAAAAGGTAGAGGCGGAGAAGAAGGAAACAAGGAGCTTGTATAATCTGCACACTGAATAATTAGACCCTGAGTAGGCTGTGCTATTAATAACTTGCTCAGAAGAATGACATTTTGTTGCTCTTTGAAATGAGCTTGAATTCTGTATCATATCTAACAAGGATTGTTGTAAATATTCAGATATGTAGGAAGCTGCTGGTATCGAGAATATAATTGCCAAGTAGAACTATTTCATTTGTGGGAGATCTTGTTAGTTATTTCTTTTTATTTAACTATTTAAAATTAATTTAAGCATATCCATATATATGAATATCCCCTGTTTAAAAAGTAGTACATTTCAGTTGGGCACAGTTACTCACGCCTATAATCCCAGCACTTTGGGAGCCGAGGTGGGAGGCATGCTTGAGTCCAGAAGTTTGAGACCAACCTAGGCAACATAGTGAGACCTCATCTCTACAAAAAAACCAGGAACTTAGCCAGGTGTGGTGGCACACGGCTATAGTCCCAGTTGCTCAGGAGGCTGAGGCAGAAGGATCACCTGAGCCCAGGAGGTTGAGGCTGTAATGATCTATGATCATGCCACTGCATTCCAGCCTGGGAGTAAGACTCCAACTCAAATTTTTAAAACATATTAGTACATTTCAGATAAAAGTTAAGGCCCTCTTTGACTCCAAGCAGGTCATTTCCTGAGTCCCTAGAGATCTGCTATGTGTTTGATATAAATCCTTCTCAATCTTTTTTTAAAAAAGGGTTTTTCTCTATATAGTATACCTATAGAAAATGTACTGTATTCTTTTAGAAGCATGGGAAGTGTTTAAATAAAAGACTTCATTTATCTCAATAATTTTAATATTTTTGAGATATGTCCATATTGAATCAAAGAAATTTAACACATTGCTTTTAAGTGCTATAGTTATATGACTGTTTATTCATTTGTGTTTGGATGGGCATTAGGTTCTTTTCATTTTAAAATGCTAAGCAATACTGTAATATTTATTTATGCACATGTGCGTGTATTTCTCCAAGGTTAATATTTAGAAGGAGAAATGCTGAGTCATAGGAGAGGGATGCTTTAAATTTTGATAGATATTATGAAACAGGTATCAATTTAAACTTTCAGCAACAACATATGAGAGAATGTTTCTCCACATTCCTCCCCCCCAGTTTATTATTATAAAGCTTCCACTTAGTTCTTGACCTGTTATTTATAACAATAATACTTCCTTTGATTTACAATACACTATACAATAGTCTTATCACTTTTTATGAGCTCATTTTGATTTATTGGCTAATGAGTTTGTTAGTTATAGTATGAATCATGTATATATATATATATATATATATATATAGCAACAATGATATTTAGGAGATTGTCATAAAGATGATTTAAAAAGTGAGTTGAAGCTGGAAAACTGAAAACAATTTCCCTTTCTTTTTTTTTTTTTGTTTCTTTTTGGAGTTGGGATCTTGATCTGTCACCTAGAGTGGAATGCAGTGGTGCTGTCATAGCTCACTATAACCTCAAACTCTCGAACTCAAGGGATCCTCCCATCTCAGCTTCCCAAGTAGCTAGGGCTACAGACATGTGCCACCATGCATGACTAATTAAAAAAGCATTTTTTAATAGAGCTGATGTCTTGCTTTATTGCCTAGGCTGATCTTGAAATCCTGACCTTAGGCAATCCTCTCACCTAGGCCTCCCAATTACTGGGATTACCGGCATGAGTCACCACATCTGACCTGTAAACAATTTATTTAAGTTACCAAATCATATTATTAGCATTTCTGCCATGTTCCCTTAAGAAAGTTCCATGGGAGACCACTAGAGTGGTCTGGAAATTTGTGTTTTGCTCTCAGCTCCAGCTATGATTTGAGCTCCTAGTCTGGGTCTCAGTTTCCTAATTTGTCATTTTACAAGAACTCTGGATTCTATTAAAGTAGCCAAGAGGCAACTTGCTAAAATCCCATTTTTATCAATTAATTGAAAATAAAAAAACTCCTTTGCTTGGGAACATGAAAATGGTCCACTCTAGAAACTCAAGCTTCAGGATGCCAGCATTTTCCAGAGGTGGGTTCCTCAGCATTTTCTTCACCCTTGTATCTCAGGAGCAATGGCATCAATTTTTCACAGAAAAGTTGATTGAGCCAGGAGTAGTGGCTCATGCCTGTAATCCTAGCACTTTGAGAGGTGGAGGCAAAAGGATAACTTGAATCCATGGGTTTGAGACTAGCCTGGGCAACTTGGTGAGATCTTGTCTCTACAATAAATAAATAAATAGCCAGATGTGGTGGTGCACACCTGTGCTTCCAGCTACTTGGAAGGCTGAGGTGAAAGGATCACCTGAGCCCAGCAGGTTAAGGCTGCAGTGGCTGTGAGCGTGGCACTGCACTGCAGCCTGGGCAACGGAGTGAGACTCCAACTCAAAAAAAAAAAAAGAAAGGAAAAGTTAATCGAGCCCACTGAGGTCAAATGGCTTTGATTTTTATTACTATGTTCCAATTCAAGAGCTCTTTCTACCAAATCATACCACATCATCACCCTATCTCATATCACCCCTCACCATACCATCCACACCTCCCTCATACAGAATCAGCTTTCCACTCAAACAATCCACATGATCACCTACATGATATCATTTGATGTTCCCGTAACCCTATATAGTTCTACCAATGGATCACAAATACCTAGAACCCAACCACTGAAGAGCTTCACCTTTTTAGATATTAAAGGATCATCAATGAAAGGCTTTCTAAGAAGAACACAAAAACTGGACACCACAAAGGAAAAGATTGGCAATTTAAAATATATAAACCTTGAATATTTCAATATGGCAGAAAAAATCATGATAAAAATTTTCAAAGAACAAATAGGATAAATATTTATAATCCCAAATAATAAAGAACTAATTTCTTTAATCTATAAAACCCTTTTACAGATTAATGAGAAAAAGGCAAATAACCCAGTTTTCTATAATAAGTAAAGAACACAAGTAGGCATTGCACAGAAAAAAAATAGCTAATGCATTTTCAAAAAGGTGAACACCATTTTTAATTTCAAAATTAAAATAAGATTTCAATGAGGGTGGGAAATTCTTGGAGTTTGAAGATACTCAGTGGTTGTGAGGTTGTGGGGAAATAGGCATGCTCATGCTTTGTTGTGGGAGCATAAATCAGGCAATTTGGCAAAATTAAAGTCTAAATTTCAGCTACCACTTAATGTAGCACAGACGTTACAGACTGACTTGCAATGTTTTCTCCCTTCACTCACAGCTAACATTCAGCACCACTGAAATGGACACCGTCTGATCCCTCTGCAGCCTGCAGGTAAAGCTGACTCCGTTGTCATTTTCACTGATGGAAGAGACACAGACAGAGCTGGAGTTGATTTTGTTTCCAGGTTTCAGATCCACTCTCCCCTCTTCTCGATACCAGAGAAGTTCTTCCTCTCCGGTATGGTTTTGAACAGCACACTCCAGAGATTCTCGGGAGCCATTCCAAGTATCTAAGATATAGTTCTCAGTTTTACCATTCACAGTTAAAAAAGAACCTGGAAGTATAAGGAGAAAATACTAAGATATACAGAGTAAACAACCTAGGTGTCCATCAACAGAGGATTGGCTAAATAAGTTATGTTACATCAGTAGAACAAAATAAACTCTCAACAATTAAAAATCATAATATTGATTTATGATTTTTTACAAAGAAAAAGATCCATAATGTATTTCTTAACTAAAAAAAGAAAAGGGTTAAGATGCTGGTCACTAAAGTTTGCTGCACATTGGAATCTCCTGGGAATCTTTTAAAAACTACTGATTCCTGGCTGTCATCCCCAGACATCTGACTGATTGACATGAGTGTAACTTGGGCATTGGGTTTTTTAAAAGCCCTATCCCTCCACACTCCATGATTCTAATTATGCAGTGATATTTGAGAACCACTAGGTTAGAAACCAGGATGTACAGAATGATCACACACACACACACACACACACACACACACACACACACACACACGCATGTATATATATACACATTCACATGCCAAATTTAATTTGTTTACTTCAAGGTGTTGGAAGTAGGAAAACAAAGAGGCAAAATGGGAAAATGTCTAAGATACAAAATTAGGTGAAGAGGAAGAATAGAAATTATATCTCTAATAATTACTACAAATGTACCCAAATTGAATATGCATATAATATGAACAAAACTGATTTGAAAGCATTTTACTGATTAGGTGATAGAATTTATGGACAATAAGGTCTTGCATTTCTGATGTTTTAATGTTGTTCTGGCAGTGAGGCAAAATTAAAAGATTTGCTTAGCTGGGGCTTGTAAGCTAGACAAATTTTTGTGGGGTGAGTGATCATGATATATAGCAGGTTTTTTTTCCAGCTCTAATTTTTAGAAATCCACTCATTGCATAGTAATATATATGAATTTAACTGTTTATTTTCCTGGTTCAGAAGAAAGTAGCAAAAGCTAAAAAAAACAAAAAACAAAAAAACTTTAGCTACCACAGAACTGCACCCCAGACAACATTTGTTAATATATTCTATAAACACATTAATTTTTATTTTATAAAGCTTAAACTACTGGTAAAGACAATGTGATTTTTGCTTAGTATATTTTAAAATCTGGAAGGATATACACTGAAACATTGAATGGCTATCACTAAATGATGGGATTTGGAGGGATTTTTACTTTTCTTTATTCTTTTTTAGATTGCCTTATTTATTTTACAATGATTATGTATTACTTTTAAAATCAGAGAAGAGGGTAAACTATTCTCAGGTGAGGGTGGGGAACAAATGCAGGAAAGATTTTTATGTAAGTGATATATTCAAATAAACAGAAGATTGTTTGGGGCAAGATTAGTAATAAAATGCATTAAAATATAGAAAAATTCTGGCTGTGACTCCTTAGAGAATAGAATACCTTGTCTGGTAAAGTAGAACCCTAAAAACAATATTTTTCTATTTGATTTTTTAATGTTATTTGATTCCTATACTATTAGCCATACTGTGTAGTCAATTTAGAATTTAAAGATATACCCAATATCCATTGATTTTTTTTTTTCTTTTGAGTAAGGATTCTCTCTGTTATCCAGGCTAGAATTCAGTGGCACAATCACAGCTCACGGCAGCCTCAATCTCCTGGGCTCAGGCAATTCTTCTGCCTCAGCCTCAGGAATAGTTGGAACTGCAGTCACAAGCAACCACAGACAGCTAATTTTCTGATTTTTTGTGGAGTCCAGGATGGTCTCATACTCCTGAGCCCAAGCAATCCTCCCACCTCAGTCTCCCAAAGTGCTAGGATTACAGACACGAGCCACTGATCCCAGTGCATTGATCATTTTTTTTAATCTAAAAATTTTCTTTATCTAAAAAGAGGCCAGAAAGAATGTTAACTTACTTGTTATCTCATGTGGCAGAAATAAAATTACTAAGAGAAGAAATCTACACATTTGCATTATACTGCTCCTCTTCCATGTCATCTTTAATGAATTTGAGTTGGACCTACCAAAGGAAAATGAGTGCTGTTGGTTTTGTACTTTGGTCTACAATGAGTTTATGAACATTCCTCTTGTCTACTGTGCATTTAAAATAAAGTCCCAGATGAATCATTCCAGCTATAATGGTACTACTTCTAGTTTTTAATTAAACAACCCTATTCTAAGTTCAAAGTACTTTCATTATTAAATAATTTTTTAAGGGAAAAAAAAGGAAAACCACAAGGAAATACACTATAAAATATAGGGCAGCTTTAGGGCACCCTGGAGAAGATAAAACCAGTCTTCTCCAGAGAAATTGATAGAGTTTCATTTTAATAGAAACTCATTTTATTCTCAGACAGTCCCGACTGAACAAAGTAATTCTTGTTTTGAAAGCCCAAGAGGGGTCATTTTTCTAAAGTTGTTCTCTGGTAATAGAGAATTTTTGAGACTATTCCAGATCCCTTAAATTCAAATGGTGTGTACTTAGGAAAGACCCATTTGAAACATGGCCTCTAGTTTAAAACCATGTTAAAATCTGCTTTCCCGCAGCCCCCTACTCCCTCTTCCTCATAATACTTCTTCCCCTTGACCCAGTGTGGACTAAAAATAATAAATAATAAAGCCCTCCTTTCTCCTTTCTTCTGTGCTTTTGCTTCTACCATATCTCTCCCTAAGATACTCTCCACTTCCATCTGGGTAAAACATATATTCATTGCTTCCTTTCAAGAGTAGTGCTATGAGTATAGTAGAAACTCATATGGAGTGCTTTCTATGCAACAGGCACTGTGCTGAACTCTCTACATACTTTATTTTAATCACAATTAAGCCTAACAATAATCCTCTTGAGACAGTTTTTATAGATTTAGAGGGGTTATGTAATTTGCTAAAGATCCCATAGACAATACAAGTCAAGGTGAAGATTTGAACCCAGGACTCCCAAGACCATGCTCTTAAACACCCTAACTGCCTAGACTGACACTCTCTTCCTTTAAGAAGCTACTGTTAATCCCTTTCAGTCCCTGGCCACTCCATAGACCCTAGCAACTTGGAGTTCTGTCCCCTTAACACTAGTACTACCTTTCAAGAGCTGGAGCATACCTATGACTTCTTAGGGCCTGCTCTACTTCTCTGCTGTCCCAGGCCTGTCCTGACAGGAACAAGTTTTATCCCTGCCAGATTCATCCTTTCTGTCAGGCAAGTCTGTATTATTCTTTTCATAAGATGCAATTATTACTAATATTTTGTAATTTTAACTATTTGCCAAAAAGATTTCTATCTATTACAGTGTTGTAACAGTGATGACTTCAGAATTTGGTCATTAGCAGAGTTTTCTCAAGTACTCTCCACTATAGGTACTCAATCAAAACTGAGATTGTGGACTCCTTGGCAGAGCTCACCCCCACCCTATTAAGGGGAGAATCTATGTCTTCCCTTTCCTTCCACTCCACCAAAACAGTAACCTTTAAAAAGTTTATTCCTCCCTTCCCTCCCTCCCTCCTTCCCCCCTCCCCCCTTCCTCATTTCCGTCCTTCCTTCCTTCCTTCCTTCTTTCCTTCCTTCCTTTTCTTTCTTTCTTTTCAACAAGCTCTCACTCTGCCACCAGGCTGTAATACAGTGGCACGATCATAGATCACTGTAACCTTGAACTCCTGGGCTCAGGTGATCCACCAGTCTCAGCCTCCTGGGTAGCTACCTTCACCCACATACAGCAACTTTTCAAGATGAATTTCCTTCACTTGACTTGTTTTTAATTTTTATGACTCTCTACTTTCTATACAAGACAGTCTTACCACTTACCTGCTGAGCTCTGAAAAGCTGACTTCCTCGGCCAACTGTTCCTCTGCCTGGAATCCCTGAATCCTTTCCCTGTTACTGTCCTTTATAATACTTGAATTTGAGCACTTTATGATGGTAGGGTAAATAAGTAAATAAGATAACTTGAGTTCAAAGTCTATTTCTCTTTATGGATTCTTAGAGAAGACAGTAATTAGGAAAGACATCTTCTAAATGTCTAACCTTTTATGTGTACGTAGGTTACTAGGTGGGGCCAGATATTACTAACAGGGGTGTATGTATTATTCTCAGGAAGCCTGAACTTGTGCAAAAATTTGTAGCACATCTCACTGAACATTGTCATACTTAAGTAAGATGACTATGTTTTGATAATCTACTAGCCTGGAGATTGTGATGGGACTAGTCTGAGGAGAATTTTGACTTTTACAGCAGTCAAAACATTGGAAGATTCTACCCAACTTAAATAATGCTGGAGAAGCCTGCCTTACCACTAGTAACCCAAGCTCAATGCATAAGCTGTATCTCTCAAGCCAGCCAAGGATGTGCAGGAAAGACGATTAGGAAGTCACCTGCTATATGGGAACCCTTTGCAAGTGACTTCTAGGTAGGCCAAGAAGATGTTGGTAGGACATCAACAGCAATGTCTACACCTGGATATTAGATTATATTAGGAAATAGTGTTTAATTATTCTTAGTTGTAATCATGGTATTACAGTTATGTCAAGAATGCCTTCATTCTCAGCAAATGTCTGCTGAAATATTATAGGTCAAGTGTAAAGATGATTGCAACTAACTTTCATATGACTCTGTAAAAATTAATAAATAAACACACAGAGTAAATAAAGCAAATATTAAATTTATTGAATCTAGATGTGGGTATATAGATCTTCATTGCATATTGTTTCAACTTTTCTGCATGTTTAACTTTTTTATGACTAAGATATTGGGAAAATGTATTTAGCAGAATTTAGCATATATGTCTTGTATCTACTATGTTCTAAGTATTGGGGATGCCAGTCCCATCCAAGCCAATATGGTGGCTTTGTTATGAACTAGGAAAAGATGGCTTCTCAAGTCACTGTATTGCCATCTGTGGAGCATTGTTGTAATAACGCTACAAAACTATGATATAGGTGATGAGTGGTGCTCCCTGTCCTCTACAACATTAAGTGGGTACCCTAGGAGGTACATAGATGAATAAAACAACCTGTGGGCCTTCAAGGGTCTTACATTCTAGAGTAGAAAGTTAATGATGGCCAGGAGCCAAGCAAAGTGCTCTCAGGTTCTAAGGAGGGATTTCAGATAAGAAAAATGGTATAATAGTGCCCCTGCTGGAGGGTCAGAGAAGTGATATGACTTGTCCAAGATCATATAAATCCCTGGAACATTCCTCTTTCCTAGAACTGACCGAGGGGAGAAATCATTTTCTTTAAGTAGTTAAGCCCAGTAGTTAACCATTAAGCCTAAGTGGTTTGGTTGGTTGGAGTATGAACAGAATTCAATACTCCACAACTTCCGCCAGTGGTTTAGACCAAGGGGCAGGGGTGGAAAGCAGCCTTAAGTGTGAAAATTCCAGGGAATAAAGTCCAATCTGCTTCACATTCCCCAGGCCCAGGCACTTCCAGAAAAGTGACAGAAGAAGGCGTCCCGAAACAGGCAGCCATGACTTTCTGATTAAGATGAGTATTCGAATCACCTGGAAGATTCTCTCAGTACCTTTCTTTCATCAGTTCTGATGAAACTCAGAAATCTCATTTTTAACAAGCCTCCCAGGTGACTCTGGCACAATGGTTTGTGAATCTTACTTTGAGAACCATGGACTATGGGATTTGTCATTGACATGAGTGATTAAAGTGGAAGCCCCTCAGCTGAGGGGAAGTATCTAGCACAGTGCTGAGTGCATGGTAAGTACTCAAGAAGGAAGAAAGAAAGGGAGATACAGGCAGGATGCCCACTCTAAGACAAATTAGAAGTGCAAGTTGAGTACTTCAACCTGGGAGGGGATGTATACACAAGGCTGTCCTGTGGGAGACTGACTGTGTGGGTGCACTGGCCTCATAGTACTTTTTGTTGTATGGGGAAAACAGGAGCGAGAAACAAGCAACCAGAATGTGGGAAAGGCCTGAGAGGCAGTGCAGTAACTGCCGAGCAGTACTATCCACAGCCTTCCAGCCACAGCCCTCACATCTGCTATGACCAAATTTGGTGCAAGAGAGGCAGCAACTCAGAAATGGCTAGAGGGCCCCAGACCAGCAAGACCATCTTAGAGTGACAGAAAAGCTAGAAATTCGGCAGTCATAGCCTAGCAATGATAGAGTGAATGGCTCTTTGACCAACATGAGGACCAAGTTTGTTGACTTTTCCATCCAGAACCCAACACAGCACCCACTAAACTGCTTAAAATTGGTCATGGGACTTCAGAATTTCCAGTTTAAACAATAACCAATTCCTAACTTTTCATCAACCATTATTAGGATTCCTGCATCACCCAAATTCTTAGACCTTAAATCAATACTGAAAGACTATCTGTTCTAGAGTTGCCAGATTTAGCAAATAAAAATACAAAATATTCAGATTTGAATTTTAGGAAAATAATGAATACCTTTTTAGCATAAGTATGTCCTATGCAACTACTATATGCTCATTCATGACAAGCCAATATTTTAATACTTATATTTTAAAATATCATTGCTCCCTTGGAATTCAAATTTAACTAGGCATCCTGTATCTTGTCTGGAACATCTGGCTGATCCTCCCTTTCTTAATAGGTGAGGAAATGAAGTTCAAGGAGGTATAGGGACTTGTCCAAAGTGACACAGTTATTTCGTGGCAGAGCAGGGATTGGAATTCATTCAAGACTCATGGTTGCCACACTGCATCCTTTTCCAAATGTCTATCTGCAGAGCTTCTTAAGTTGGCTTCTTGGACCACTATGGATGAGCATTAGGGTGCCAGTGAAACTGCTGAAATTATATACAAAACTCTGTGTGTTTGTGTGTGTGTGCCCACATGTGCATATACGTACATTTGTGTATTTTTTCAGGGAGATTGTCTCTCATCTTAGCCTGAATGGACTAGGACATCATTCTATGCTCCACAACCTACCTATATCAAAAGCAAAAATTCCCCTCATCTATTCTATATTCTTCTTCCTCCTTTTCCTTCTATGAATTTTTAATTTGAAGGGAGGAGTAGGAGAACTAACTTTTACTGAG